CGACGGCACATAACAACAACAACAACAGCCCTTATTATTCCCATAGCTGTATCTTATGCTTTTAAGAATAAGATTTCCACCTCCCCCCTACCCGCAAGAAGGAAGTGGAAGGAATGTGGTTACATTGTGGGTATCATTAATGTTCTAAACCGAAATATATATTAACAGTTAAATGGAAAATGGATTTGCTTTGTATACTTAACTCATAAAAATTCAACAACCTGACTGGAAACCCTAAGTCTCTGTAAACTTCCATTTAAAGTAATTAAAAAAAAATTATGCATTTGAAAAAAAAAATCAACAACCAGAATAAGAATGGCATCTCCCTCCAAATATTATAATAATAATAAAGATTAATAGCACAACATTTGCCTTGAGACAAAGTTCCTGATGGCAAGAAGGGATAAGCAAGAAATAGAGAAACAGAAACAGAAAACAGTGTGGAAGTGGGAAGAATGCAGTAGGAATGAAGGGGTTAAAATCAATGCCACAAAGCAAAATGTGTATTGAATACCTGAATGGAAAAAAAAATTCACTCGTCACAATGAAATTTTAATAAAAATTTAAAAAAATATTCTTTTGTGCAATATAACTAGAATTTTCTAGCTGTTGTAAGAACATTGGCCTGGCCATATATTTGGGTCCTAGCAATTATATTTAAGGTGTAACTAACATTTTAATATCGAAGGGTAAATAAAAATGAAATAGATAAATGTCCAATACTTTTTTTAAAAAAACCAAACTAAATTTTACTTCTATTAAATGAATTAATCAATAAAATGACATATACTGATAAATTTCCATATCACAGTATTGCAAAATAACACTCACACGAGTTTGATGGGAGAATAAATTGGCACATAGGCTCTTCGAAAACAGTGTGGGTACCATCTGTCAAATACCTAAATGTGTGTATACCTTGACATAGTAATTACATATTGCACAAAATCTGTTTATACAGAAGTTCAATGATCTATTTACAAGAATATCTGCTATAAGAATAATAATTTAAAAAGCACCAACATTTAGAACTCAAAAGCTAAATCCTTTCATTAGGGAAGTGGTTAAATAAATACTAAATCAATACAAAGTAATACTTTGAAAATAAAAATATGTATGTTTACTTAACTGTAAATACTGATTACTTCCTAAACTGGACTAGGTATAGAGGAGAACTTTGTCTGTCTCCCATTATACTTGTCTGCATAATGTGAATATCACTCTGCTGTATGTAAGGAGATCTACTAGTGCACTGGGTGAAGGAGCTGTGCTGCCAACACAAAGGCAGGGCGTTTGAATCTCTAGCTACTCCAGAGCAGAAAAATGGACAATCTCCTTCCATACTGTTTACAGTTTCTAGAAAGCCACAGCTCTGGAAGGTGGGAGCTGGTTCTGACTTGATCGCAATGAGCTGCTGTTTTTCTGACTGTTTATATATAATGTTTATAATGAAAATTATTTTCAGTGAATAATAAGGTAAATAATTAATGTTAACAGAATCACAAGTACAATTTTAAAAACAGAATCTGCTTGAGTGAGTTGTGCCTACCGCCACTTAACCAAATGCTGTGCACTGAAATGTTCAATGAAGGTCCTAACTCAGCTTCACTGACATTCTAGTCCTTAAAAAAAATCTATTTCAGAGCAGTTTTAGGAATCCGGGAGCACAGTCTGGATATAAAAAAGGTATTTGGAAGGGAAGATCCAGAAAGAGGGTGGGGTGGGAAATTCTACAGATAAAAGACAAGCATAATTCATTTAATCAACAGTTAGACAAGTGGTTTATGTCTCTGTTATTACCTAAATATCTCAGTTCAACCAAAGATTCTTCCTGACACCAATTCAGTACAATAAATTATATTATGCCTTCTTTATATATAGAAAAGCATACTTACTTAACTTACAAGAGTGGCATGAAACAGTGATTTTAAACTAATTTACTAAAATAAAAGACATATATAAAAACCAGACTCACAACTGTCAAGGGGATTCTCACTCATGAGAGTCAACGTGTTGCTCTGATTGTAAATCTTAACAGAAGTAGGCTGCCCACTGTTCTCCTGAGAACTGGCTGGTAGATTTGAACCACTGACCTTACGGTAAGCAGACCAATACACAATGTGCTGGGCAACCAGGACACACGTATGTACCTGCTTGCTGTCTCTCTTGTTTTATACACACACACACACACACACACACACACACACAGTCTCTGCATCAGTCACTTCTGAGAATTTGAAAGAGCAAAGAAATAGTGCACCAAGGAAAAAGAAAACGACATATATTTTTATGTACAATATTCACATTCCTTCTCTGGTAGTTCAAAGAATCTAAAAAGGCCCCTATGTTTAGATTTAATGGTAAGAATCCTTTGCCAAGAAAAAATAGAAGCAAAAAAGTACAAATATGCAAACTGATTACCTTCGCATGTAGGTGGCAGGTCACTCCATTTGCCTTCCTCAGACTTTCCAGTTACAATACAGCTAATGGAATTTGTTCCCACCAGGGTGAAGCCTGCATCACATACGTATGTCACTGAGTCGTTGACTAAATAATTTTGCAATTTCCGTTGAATTTTTCCATTCTCAATTTGTGGTGGCTCTTCACAATGTATTTCTTTTAAAGAAAAACATTTTTAAACAAACAGAACTTAATGTTAAAATTACTAAAATGAAAGTAATTTATTTTAAACTAAAACTCTTAAATAAAACTGGCAAAACATCCTAAAAACAGTAAAACCAAAACATCCTAAAGGTTTTGTTAAAAACAGCAACAACAACAACAATTCATTCATATTTTTAAATTTAGCATAAACAACCAGGGATGCTTATAAATACCAACTAAGTTGTATGGCATCTGGAATATAAAATTCTAAAGAACATGAGTAACATTGGGGTCAGAACATGAGTAATATTGGGGTCATTTTAGTTGACTATATATCTTTGCAATAAGGTTTGCCTATATAGCATACAGCCACACAATCAGAGAAGACTTCAGAGAGTAAATAGAACTGAATTGAAACTTAAATGTGAGCTTCTTAGAAGATGTTATCGCTATTGGGTGCTGCGAAGTCAATCCCGTCTCAGGATGATTCAACAGGCCAGAGTAGAGCAGCTCTTAAGTGGGTTCTTAGCTGTGCCCTTCACAGAGCATATCACCAAATCTTTTCTCTGGTAGAGAAGCTGGGGAGTTTTGAACCACTAGTTGTTCTGTGAGCGACCTATTGCTTAACAGGGTTCTCCTAGGATAGCTCACCCACTGCCATTGAGTCAACTCCTTCTAGTAGTGATCCTGTAGGACAAAGTAGTAAGGCAGCACTACTATCCCAAAGGCAAGCAGTTCAAACCCACCAGCTATTCCATGGTAGAAAGATGGGAAATCTCTCCTCCCATGTGGTTTACTGCCTCTGAAACCCACGTAAGGGTAAGTTTTTACAGAAACAGACGGCCTTACCTTTCTCTTGCGAAAGAGCTAGTGGATTAAAAAAGCTTATCTTTATGCATATCATATGCTTTAACACCTGTACCAACAGGGCTCCTTTAAGATCCCTCACTGTTCATTGTATGAATTCTGATTCATTGCATGCTATAAGATAGAGCCATGAAAAGGGCATTTCTCATCCTTCTCTGATAATGGCGTCCAATGAAAAGAGCTGGGGATTCATGTGGCATCCTTGGAGCTGTGGAAGAACCTGACTGACCAAATTATAATAGAGCAGGGGATCCTGGTTGTCCAAATTACAATGGAGCAGGGGATCCTGAGTGTCAGAATTATCATGGAGCAGGGAATCCTAAGTGTCAGAATTATTTTTAAAAGGGCAGGGGATCCTGGTTGTCCAAATTACAGTGGAACAGAGGATCCAGACTGTCAGGATTATTATGGAGCAGGGGATCCTGACTGTCAGAATTATAAAGTAAATATTTCCCCTTCTTGGGGAAAATTTTCAAGGAGAAATCTAAGGACTTCTTAAAAAGAAATTTAAAGATATATGGAGTCTTAGAGCCTTATATTCAAAGTAAATAATATTGACAAGTCTAATTTGTAAAATAAGTGCAACTGGAATGATTATCTTTATCTTGTAATTACAGGACTCTCTTTGGCAGCTGCCCTGGTTTAAAAAAAAAAAGAAAGAAAAAGAAAAAGTATATCCACTGGCTCCACATTTTCCTAACACATAAAGTTGCTTTGTGTAATTGGTTAAAGGAAAGTAATGTGATTATATCTATATAGAATAGAATAGAATAGAATAGAATAGAATAGAATAGAATAGAATAGAATAGAATAGAATAGAATAGAATAGAATAGAAT